GCTATCAAGGTTGCCTTCGACTTATGTTCTGCGATGACGTTTCACACCTACCTTGGGGGCTTTACAGACGACCCAACAATTGCAAAATGCATTAATATAGCTACAACTTTACCTGCATCGACATGGAAGCCGCTCATCAAAACAAAGCCTGTAATTAAAAAGAAAGCAGAAAGCATTCATTACGTGACCAACGGTGGCTGGATTGTGGGTGGCAAGGACGCCGCTCGCTTGCTCATTATCTGTATATCCCCCTCATTCTCTGTTTCCCTCTCTCTCGCGTTATCTTTCCCTCCCCCCCTTTCTCTCTCTCTCTCTCTTCCTCTCGCTCCCTCTCACTCTCTCTTTCCCTCGTCTGCGCGCTGCAGGATTTGAAAGCAACTGAACACTATCCGAAGATGTTCGGTAAAGCTGTTTACTTGGCGTGGAAAGATGCAAAGAGCCAGACTGACATTCGTTTTTTCATGATTCTCTCCCTGCGCGCTCTCTGAACGTCTCGATGCATGTGTCTGCCGCGGGAAAATGATGATTTTAATTTCATGTGGCTGTGGAGTTCGAGCTCAGTGGGTGTCATTGGGTCGTCATTTGGATTTCATTGGCTTGATTTCATGCTGCTCTGGAGTTCGAGCTCATTGGGTGTCATTGGGATTTCATTGGCTCGATTTGGCCCCGTGGGCATGTTGGGAGGGCATCAACTTTGTTCGGGGAGGGCGGGAGTGGTACATGGGGGGCCATGGCGAGGCGAGGGCGAAGAGGCAAAGAAGGAGAAGGAGGAGGAGTGGAAACGCGGGGTGGGACCATGTGGAGTGGGGGAGATGTCGCAGTGGGAGGTGCAATTGCCTCCGCCGCCCCGCCGCCATGCAAGCTGGGGGGGCCCCCGTTTGGACCCTGGTCGGCCCTGGCCGATGCCAAAGAAGAAAAGCAGGGGCCAACGGTGGCCTGACATCAGGGAGCTGCAGACAAGAAGCCGAAGCAGGTCCAACAGGGGCCGAGGCGGCGACGAAAAGCCGAAGCAAAGCGAGTCGAAAGAAAGCCGAAGAGAGCCGAAAGAGCCGAAAGAGGTCCGAAGCGGTTCGAAAGATCTGAAAGAGGTCCGAGAGCCGAAAGAGGTCCGAGAGCCGAAAGAGGCCGAAAGAGGTCCGAGGCCGAAAGAGATCCGAGAGGCCGAAAGAGGTCCGAGAGCCAAAGGTCCGAAAGAGCCGAAAGAGCCGAAAGAGGTCCGAGAGCCGAAAGAGGCCCGAAAGAAGTCAAGACAACGGGGCGACAAAGATATCAAGAAAGCCAGTGATCCGAAAGAGGCCCGGAAAGAGCCCACAATTGTCCTCAAGAGCCGAAGCATCTCGAGAAAGAGGGCCGCGAGAGTTCGCTGGACCATAGCATTGCCTTCTTTGCAGTGGGCTTGCAATGGGAAGAATAGGTCTCGCAGTAGGCCCCGACAGGAGGCTGAAGCTGAGATTGAAGATCGGGCTGGTAAAGGCAGTTCCGAAGGGGGGTTGGCAGGTGGTGAGACGAAGTACACCGAGGGATCTAAGGAGTACTGGCTTGCACAGTATGAAAAGGCGAGACGCTCTGAGGAGAGACGCGCTGGCGTGTGTTGGTCGCCCGACGAACGCTCTCCTACTCCTCCTGGAAGCCCGACCGAGGAGGAGAGCCCTTCTCAGACGAAGAACCCTCCTCCGCCACCGCCGCCGCCGCCTCCACCGCCTCCTTCTCGCGAGCTGCCCAAGGAGGGATTTGCCGACGCAGCGAGGCGAAACCTTGAAGCATTGAAGAAGGCCGAGTTTCTGCCTCAAGATGCTCCTGACTGGCTGACCTCAGCGTTTTCGCCGTTTTCACAAAGGCAGCCCGAAAAAAGGCGTTTGGTAAAGTTCACGAAAGAGCAGCATACATGGCTCGCGAAGAGGCTTTGTCTGGGGGTCAAGCTCAAGGAAAAATGGGTGAAGAGTCTTCTCGACATGAGTATCGGCTTTGCGGACGAGATTCAGAATTGGATTGAGAAGGACGAGTGGATCACGAGAGCTCCAATACCATTGCCAGAACCCATCGTTGACGAGATCAGGAGGCAGCAGGCGCTTTACAATCAGCCCAGCAGCTCAAGCAGCAAAGCAGCACGGCGCTGAAGGCGCGGCGCAGCAAAGGCACTGAGCAGTGCAAAGGGCGCTGAGCAGTGCAAAGGGCGCTCGGCCGCTGAGCAGTGCAAAGGGCGCTGAGCAGTGCAAAGGGCGCTGAAAGCAGTGCAAAGGGCGCTGAAAGCAGTGCAAAGGGCGCTGAAAGCAGTGCAAAGGGCGCTGAAAGCAGCGCTGAAGGCGCTGACAGTGCAAAGGGCGCGCGGCCGCGCGCTGGCTGGCCCGCGCCGCGACGGTGACCAGCGGCCGCACGCTGGCGGCCCGCGTTGCGTGCGAGATAATGCATGCCTCTTCCTAGCTCCGCCATGCTTCCTCCTGCTGCCTCCTGCTTCCTATCTCTATACGGACGTGGAGGCGGAGGAGGAGGGGTAGGAGATAGGAGGATGAGGAGAGAGGAGAAAGAGGAGGAGGATGAGGAGGAGGAGGGCGATGATGATGATGATGATGAGAGGAGGAGGAGGAGGAGGAGGAGGATGAGGAGGAGGATGAGGAGGAGGAGGAGGAGGAGAGAGGACGATGATGATGATGATGATGACGATGATGATGAGGAGGAGGAGCAGGATACCTATAGGCGCCTCGCGAGCGCTGGCTCGCCCGCGTCCTTGCTCCGCACTGCTCCCTCCTGCTGCCTCTTGCGCATTCCTATCATTATTCATCGAGGAAGAGAGCGAGGAGGCAAGGGGGTGGGGAGGAGGAGGAGGAGAGAGCAGCGATGAGGAGGAGAGAGTTGGAGAGAGGAGGAGGAGGAGGAGGAGGAGGAGGAGGAGGAGGAGGAGGAGGAGGATGAGGATGAGGATGAGGAGGATGATTAGGGGGGAGGAGGAGGAGGAGGAGGAGGAGGAGAGGAGGAGGAGGAGGAGGAAGAGGATGAGAAGGAGGAGGCGGAGAAGGATGACGTGGGGGGGGGGGATAGAGGAGGATGAGGAGAAGGATGAGGAGGCGGAGGAGCATGAGGAGGAGGAGAGAGGAGGAGGATGAGGAGGAGGAGGAGGAGGATGACTGCTATACATCGCGTTTGATCGCGCATGTCATATCGCAGGAGGAGGGTGAGGAGGAGGAGGAGAAGGAGGAGGAGGAGGAGGATGAGGAGGAGGAGGAGGAGGAGGAATGCCAAATCACATGCCCATTGGACGCTCGTCTTTCACTAGGGGGCAGCTCCCGCATTCATTGTGAATGAGTTAAAAGACTTATGAGGAGACTTGGGACGGGAGGGTATATTGCCGCATCGTTCATGAATCCTGGGTTCACTCTGGTCCTCCTCATTATCCTCCTCCCCCCTCCTCCTCCGCATCGCACGTTTGTTATCCGCGGGCGCTGAGGGCGATCAGCGAAACGGGGCCCAATGCGCCTCGCGAGCGCTCGTGCGTTTTTCCCCCGCTTTCAGCGGGCAGAATCATGACATGGGGGGAAGCGGGGGGGAGGAGGACGGGGGTAATCATCGCCAGAGCAACGCAGGGGGCCAGGGCCCCAAGCGCTTCGTACAAATGATTCGTCATGCGATTTAACGTTTGCATTTACTCTTGGAAAAATATATTCCTCCCCTCTCCTTCCTCCCAATCCTCCTCCTCCTCCTCCTCCTCCTCCTCCTCCTCCTCCTCCTCCTCTTCCTCCACCCCCGCCTCCTCCCCCTCCTCCTCTTCATCTTCCTCCTCCTCCTGCTCCTCCTACTCCCCCGCCTCCCAGGAGGACGGGGGGGGGGGCGACGACGAGGGCAAGGGCGAGGGGGGGGAGGGCGAGGAAAAGGATGACGAGGAGGAGGGGGACGGGGGCGACGGGAGAACTGTCTTTATCCACTTTGGATAAAGTGAGACTACGTACAGCACGTTCGTGACTTGCATGTAGGAAGAATGCATATGCCCGCCAACGATTGGGAAGCGCTACTGTTCAGGCACTGTTCGTAGACGGATGCCCCATATGAAGTGTGTTGCCGACACCGCGCATGGTAAAACAAAAAAAAAAACGCAAGACATGCAGATCATGCTTGCTATGGTATGTGATGTTAGCGCAGAGTTGTTCGTGCACGTTTTTATAGCATACGTATGTGAACTTGTTCACGCAAAACGGTTCCATTGTATGTTATCGTGATATGTATCATATGTATGGTTTGTGATGTTACGCACCATATGGGCGCTATGCCAAGTTATGTAGCATGTGTTATATTGCGTTGCGCCGCGCATGTTCTATAGCATGCGCATGTAACGCTGTTCGCGCAGAACGGTTCCACTGTATGTTATCGCGCAAAATGGTTCCATTGCATGATCTTCGCGCAAAACGGTTCCATGGCTGCGTTTTGGTTCCGTGGTTGAGTTTTGGTTCCGTTGGGTTGTCTTCCATTTTTTGGTTCCGTTTACCCTCTGGGCGACGCTCGGGCGCCGCCGGGCAGCTCGCGAGCGGCCGCGGGGGGCGGGAATCGAGGAGACACTGAGCCAATTGGAGTGGCCGCGGGTCTGTTGGGCACAACGATTCTTCAACATCCCCTCCCGAAACACATTCAATTTCAAGCGCCCCTGCTGGAAGCAAGATGCGTTCGGAGAACGCACATGCCCATGCGCATGCATGTTTGTATCTGGATGCATGTATCTTTTCTTCTCCTCGGGAGCGCGGGCGGGCCTCCGCGCTCGAAACTCTCTGGGCCTGAACGCCAGCGGAGCAGCGACAGCTGGCGGGGCTCCCAGGGACCTCGGGTCTGAAGGAGGCCCCTGAAATATCAAAGAATCTCTACGCCCCCTCGCAGGGGACTCCTCTCTTCCTCCTCGAAAGGATGCGGTCGGTCCTTCTCCGACCTCATGCCGCTCGCGAACACCCGCAAGCGGTCCTGGTAGCGGGCAAGCTCGCGATGTCCGCGAGCGCCCGCTCGGGCGAAGGCTCAATGCTCACTCACTCATGCTTCTTTGCGAAGCACACCTCGCACCTGCGGCGCGCCGCCAGGCGCCGCTCCACGTAGAGAACTCCCTCGAGAGCTCGGCAGCGCCTGCTCTGGTGCGCCGCCCTGTCGGTCTCCGGCAGGTGGAACACCCAGCTTCCGTTCATCATCATCTTCGTCATGACCTCTGGGTCGCGCTCTCCTCCTGATGAGGAGCTCGCCCTGGGCGCCTGTGGCGAAGGGGCAATGCGCCCCCGCAGCGCCCAGATTGCCGTCAGGAAGCCCAGCGCAAAGGTGAGCGCCCAGCTGAGCAGCAGCATCACGGGCGCGATCATGAAGTCGCGGTTGTCATCGTCGGTGCCTCCAGCACCGCCTCCATCTTGAACTCCTTCTCCTCGTTGGGCTTGCAGGGCCATGCACAAGGCCAGGGTCGCTGTGTTGAGGCTCGGGCTGCTCGCAATCCTCCCGCCGCACTGCGTGCCACGAGCTGTCCGTCCCAACTTCTCGATCACAACGTTCACCTTGACCTCGCGAACAACTCCCAAGTCTCCATTGAGTCGGCGTGGCCCCACTTGCTTGCAGAGCTGCTCATGAGCCTCGGACGTGTGTGGCTTCGTCCCAATGTCACTGGGATTCTCGCCCCCCTTGCACTTCAGCACCTTCAGCCCGCGCATGCGCGTGGCCTGCTGGGCCCAGAGTGCTCGCGTGTCCAGGTGGCGGACCTTCCCGACGCCCTGCCTCAAGGACATCGCGCGAGCTGCTGAAGAGTCCGTCTCCAAGGTCCACTCAACACGAAACCCGAACCATGTGAGCAGATCCCTGAGCATTTTGCCGTCCATGGCCACAGTGCTCAGCGCGTAGAACTCGCTCTCTCCAGAACTCACTGCAATCAGATCCTGCCTCCTCACCAGCGTCGCCAACGCCGCGCCATCAGCGTACAGAACCCCGCAGGTCGTGCTCTTGCGCTTCGCCTCCTTGCCTCCGTGGTCGCTGTCGGAGAAACTCCTCAGGTGGACCGCGCCCTTCTTGTAGATCCTCATGTCAACCTTCGGGATGAACACGTCCAGGTCGGATGTCCCAACCAAGTAGCGTCCAAGGCGAAGCAGACATTTTCAAGAGAGCTCCGTCGGTGCTGCCAGATCAGATGCCAGCATCCCCACGGCCCGCTGGATGTCGGTGCGACCTTGCGCCAGGTAGAGGCCACTCCCCACGCGCGAACAGTGCCTCGCGATCTGCTTGTCGACGAGTGGCGGGGAGTGCTCCAATACCTCTTCCGATCCCAAGTCGGGGGTCTTGACTGGATTCGCGCCCTTCAGCCCTAGCTCCGTGATGATGTTGAGAGCGTGCTTCTCGTGCGGCTGCGCGAAGATGCCCTCGTCCGTCTTGATCCTCGTCCGCTTGAGGTACTCAAAGCGGCCCTCGGTGACGACGTCGCTGTCTTTCAACTTCAACTTGGCCCTGATCATCGGAAGGCAGCTCTCGACCTCGCTCTTGCGGCCCGTGCAGTAGAAGTCGTCCATGTGCAGCTCCAGACCCAGCCTCGTCATCGGCTTGCGGTAGAACTGCGGGCAGGCCTCGTTGCGCTCGAAGCCGCACTCCAGGAGGCGCTCAGCCGCGAAGCCGATCCACTCCCTGCTCGCAGCTCTCCTGCCATGCAGCTGCTTCTCGAGCTTCCAGACCACGTCCGTGCTAAGGCCGGCCTTGGCCCTTGCAGCTAGCCACTCAGGTGGCGGGTCGCAGTAGAACTCCTCCTTCTCAGGAACCTGGTAGTGCGCACTCGAGACGTCGCCAACCGCAACCACGAGCCGATCATCTGGATCATCATCGTCCTTCGGCTGGTCAGGGACGTCGACCCGGGAGCGAAAATATCATCACGCTCCTCGAGTCAGGCAAACTCCCTGCCCACCAACCTGTACTTAACAACCCCAGCGCGGTCCTTCTTCTCCCACTTGGTATCAACCTTCTTCTTGCCGTCGGCGGCCGTTCGAGGATGAACTGAGTATATGCCGAACTCATCGCAGAGCTTCAAGCCCTTGTCGAGCGCCTCGGCCGCCTCCTCATGGGGGGAGCCGCTGCTGTCCCAGTGCGTGAGCTCCTTGGCCGTCAGGAGCGCCTTGTAATCCAGCGTCTCGCTGATGTCCTCGATGGCCCCGACGATCGGGTCCTCGTGGCGTCCCCTCTTGGCCTCGTGCCACCCCAGGACGGCGTCGTTGTTCTGGGATCTCGCTCTGGTTGCCGTGCCCGAGGAACTCGCGGCAGCAGGCGTCGGGGCGTCTGGCCCACCACTGGCACCAGCCCCCTCGGGGCCTCCTGGTCCACCCCCCGAGCTTCCGCCAGCTCCTGCAGGGCTTTCCGCCTCTCCGCCAAGTCTCGGCGGGGCCTCAGGAGCCTGGGCCCCTGGGGCCTCAGGGCGAGGGTCTGGCGGGTGCTCAGCTGAGGCCTGGGGATCAGGAGGGTTCGTCCCCGACTCAGGACCCTCGGGACCAGGACGGGCTGGGCCCTCCTGGCCCGCTGCCCCAGACGGGGGAGCTCCTGGAGCTGCCCCCTCGGCCTCCGTGCCCGCGGCCTCCAGCGGCGTCGGCGCGACCTCGCCCCTGCCGCCGTCCATGACGAGGGGCCGGGGCATGTGCGCGATCTTCTCCTTCCAGGGCTCGCCGCAGACCTTCAGGAGGAGCTCCCTGTCGTGGCGCTTCCCGTTGGGCAACCTGCGGGCGGTCCTGCAAGTCACCTTGCCAACGATCGTCAGGATGATGTGCTCGTCGTTGTTGGTCGTCTTGCCGGCCCAGATCCCCTTGGCCCAGACAGTGTCCGCCTTGGTCAGCCTGGGAACCAAACCTCCCATCGAACGTCGCTGGCCCGTCTTGCTGACTGGAACCCTTGCCATCGCCGCCTCAGCAAAGGGAACCACTGCTCCAATGTAGTTCGCGCCGTAGACCGCGAAGTGAGCCGCGTCGCCGTCGGCACCTCGCGAGCGCCAGTTAGCCACGTTCGCAGCGTGGTGGGCGAGGAACGGCCAGAGCGGGGAGTGCGGCGTGAGCTTGATACCGTAGTTCATCTCCACCTGCACCCAATTGACCTTGAAGCGGCCTCGCCACCAGCGGATCCGCGTCTCGATGAAGCCTGTCGACTTGCTGTCCCGCGTGCGACCCTGCGAAGCTCTGGTCTCCAGGTTCTCCTCGTTCCTCGCAGTCGCGACCTTATCCTGGAGGGCCTTCACCGCAGGCTCACTGTCGCACCTGGGCTCTGGCTTCTGGTACGCGAGCTGCTTCATGAACCTCATGAGCTGCTTCGCGGTGTGATCGTCTGCGGCCTTGCTCCCCAGCGCGTTGCCGTAGAGTAGGCCAGTGCTGCGGTCTGCAGCCGCAAGAGATGTCCCGAGACCCTTGTCGGCCCCGTCGCAGAGATTGTCCGTGTTCTTAGTGCCGTTGAAGGCCCAGTCGAAGAAACTCAGCTCCTCTCTGACATTGCTGCCATACACGGGCTGCTTGGTGTGCGGGTCCTCAGGTCCCAGTCAACGCGCGCGCAGGGTACCGCATCTTGAACACCGCGTGACCAGCAGCCTCGTGTTGCTCCTTCTCAACCTCCGTTGGGGCGTAGGGAGCCTCGGCGACCTTGGCCTCTGTCACAGGCTGGCCGTCCACTTGCTGTTGGTAACGCTCCTCGACCGCCTTCTTGAAGTCCAGGTCCTGCTTGTGCTTGAGCTCAGCATGCTTGGGCCTCGTCCACAGCTGCTCCTTCGTGCCGTAGGTCGCGGCCCCAAGCTCCTTCAAGCGCTGTCGGAGCAGGTCGACTCGAGAACCTGGCCCGAGCTCTGCTCCCTCAGGGTCCCTCACAGGGCGGGGGGCCGCCCCTGGCCCTGGCTGGTCCCCAGGCGGACTGGCTGCCGCCGGTGGGGCTGCGGTGGGGGCGCCACCTCCAGGCCCCGACGAAGCCGACCCAGCACCCTCTGCCATAGGCACAGGCGCTGCAGCTTCGTCAGCCTGGACGGCCCCCTCGTCCTTCATCACCGCGTCCTCTTTGGCGGCGACGATGCCCGACTGCTGGTCGGGGTAGCGGCCTAGCAACCGCTTGGTCTCCTTGGCCACCTCCTTGGCGTCCTCGAGGTCCTTGTGCACGCTGGCAGGGGCCCCGAACGCGTTCTTCCTCCGCACCATCGGGATCTTGACATACCTCCCGTCAGGCTTGGGGTAACCGACGTAGCACCCGTCGTTGTGCGATTGGACCACGTCAAAACCTGCATCATAGACTCTGCCAGTGCTGAGTAGGTTCCGAGCGAAAGGGCCGACCTTGAAGTTGGCCTTGCAAACCACTCGGCCCCCCGTCGTGAAGGGAACCATGGCCTCACCATCAAGAGAGATCTTCTGCTTCTGGGCGGCGATCAGCTTGGCCGACGTAGGCTCCACTGCGCTATGTCTCGCAAAGCTTCGTCGTGCACAGTGCTCGTCAGCGCCACCATCCAGCATCAGAAAATCGTGAGCGTCGTACGCCTTGAGCTTGGCCCCGTCGCCGATGGCCATGATGGTCGTGTCGTCGCAGGCGTGGCGCGCGAACTCGCCCTCCAGCTGGCCCCCGAAGCTCTCGCAGCCCACCTGGTGCCCGCTCGACCCGTGGTCGACGTAGTCCACCTGGTGCCCGTCTGAGTCGTGGTCGACGATGTCCACCTGGTGCCCGTCTGAGTCGTGGTCGACGTAGTCGCTCTCCAGCGCCATGCAGAAGCCGCGCTCGTCAGAGTCGTCTTCGCTGGGCACGGCCATCGCATTGACTTCGGCGGCCTCCTTCTCGACAGTGCTGACAGTGCCCTTCTTTCTGTCCTCCTGATCTTTCTTGAACTTGAAGCAGTTGATCTTGATGTGGCCTTTCTTCTTGCAGTAGTGGCATGTCTTATGCGTATCAATCGACGGCGCGTTGCCACCGCGTCCGCCCTTCGGTCCACCCTTGCCGCCATCACCTTTGCCACCCTTGGAGTCGCCCTTGGCGCCACCTTTGCCCTTGAACCAGCACTTGCCGGCAGTGTGGCCGAGCTTCTTGCAGAGGTTGCAGCGCGGCTTGCCGAACCCGATCGCGTCAACCTGGCCGACCGCATCCACCTGCATCGGCGCCTGGCCTCCTCCTCCCGTGACCTCAGGCGGCCTGGGGACGAAAGCCTTCGCATTCCTCTCCATGCAGTGCTCGCGAATCCTCGTCCGCATCACCGCATAGTTCTCTCTGACCTCCTGGCTAGCTCCGTCGAGCACCTTCCTGATCGGCAGCGGCGCGTAGCCCAAGATGGTCGCGCACTTGAGCCTGTCGCTGATCGTGTCCTGACTCGCCAGCTCATGCTGAGTGACGAGGTGATCCCAGTCGTGCAGCACCTCCGCGAAGCTTCGCCTCGAGTGGATCATCACTCGTCCACCACTTCGGCTGCGCGATCGTCGTCAGCAGGCTGTGCTCCGAAGTGCCGCCACTCGGGCGGTAGTCAGCATAGATCTGCCGCAGCGCCTCGAACCCATTGCCAGCACCAGCCAACTTAGTCATCGTCAGCGCTTTCCCGCGCATCTTCATCGCCAGGAACGTGCTCAAGTTCCTGCTCAGCTCCAGCGTCTCCGCGTTCTGGATGTCTTCTGCAGCTATCGGACCTGCGTGGCCCACCGCCGCGTCATAGAGTGACTTCCACCCCATCTCAGTCACCTCCGCCTCCAAGGTGAAAAAAAAACTCTCGAACTCATCCTGGCCGCCACTGAAGCTCTCATGGCTTCTGATGTCCTTCAACGACCAAATCTGATACGTCCCATTCTGCGTAGTCGAACTCGCCATCGCGAGGCCCGTCTTGGCGGAGCTGTCCACCCTGAGGCCTTCGTCAGGTCGATCACCACCGCGGGCCCAGCCCGCAGCCAACGCCCTGCTGCCACAGCAGAGCCAAGCCGTGGACCGCTCTCGTGGAGCAGCTCACGGCTCCGCTACCATGTTGTCTCCTCCTCGGGAGCGCGGGCGGGCCTCCGCGCTCGAAGCTCTCTGAGCCTGAACACCAGCGGAGCAGCAGCAACTGGTGGGGCTCCCAAGGACCTCGGGTCTGAAGGACGCCCCTGAAATATCAAAGAATCTCTACACTGTATGTATGTCCAAGTGTAATGGTATAGTACGCTCGTGCAGATAGCCTCCCGGGCCAACCGCTGAGCGGCAATGCTGGTCGGGGCGGGGCGCCACATGTCAGTCATTCGCGGTGGGCGCGCGCCACGCCACGGGAAGGCACGCATGGGGACGTGTATGTACACATATATACATTTAGATACACACATATACACATACACACCTACATGTATGTATGCTTATATATACATACATATGTCCATCCATACATACATCCATACATACATACATGCAGATCGCCTATACAAAAAAACCGTACACACATACATACATACATCCGTACACACATACATGCACACACAGACACACATACATAAACACATACATTCATACATCCATCCATCTATCCATCCATAAAGATATGCGCGCATACGTGTATGTACACAATTGATCATGTATGCATGCATGTCGTCATCCCTACACATACTTGTGCATGCATGCGTATCCATATCTATACGTGTGCATATGGGCATACACGTGGGCACAATTATGCTTCAATTTCTCTTGCCGCAATGTCCCTGGCAATGCCCTTGCATACCACTCGGGACATTAACCGGGGCAATATACGCGACAATCATCGGAACAACCATTACATGCATCCATCAATGTGACCGGAAAAACGTTATATTACCGGAACTAAACGCCACGCGCGTTTCGCGCGCGCCTAGGTTCTAGCGAGGTCCAAACCTGCCTCACATCAGCAGGTGGATAGGGGCAACATCCCGCAATGGTTACCACTCAGGGGGGTGCATCCTCCTCCCGCTCAATTCGCCACTGTAAGCCCACCAGCCCAGTAGGGCGTAAGTGGTCTTGCAATATATGTCCTTCCCCTTCCCAAACCCTCCTCCCTTCCAGGAAGGGTGCCATACCCTCCGCTACCTGTTTATTTGCGGTGGTGGGGGCGCGAGCGGTCAGAGGGGCCAAGATGGCTCCAAGAGGGCCCCCGATGCTCCAACATGGCCTCTCAGATGGCTCTAGATAGCTCAACATGGTTCAAGCTGGCCCCCAACATGCCTCCAAGAGGCCCCAAGAGGCCCACAAGACGGCCCCCAGTGCTTTCGGAGCCCTGCAAGGAGCCCCCCAAGAGGCCCAAATCCATTACGAACCACAAGGAGATCATTTGTTATTGCCTTCTCGCCTTGTCGCTTCCGTTGGGCTTTTGAAGCGGCAAGATGGCCTCAATGTGGCCCACGAGAGCCCCAAAAAGGGCCAAAGAGGCCCCCCAAACGGCCCCCAAAGTGCCCAACATCGCCCCAATAGCGCCCCGAGAGACGGTCCTGAGCGCGCCAGAAGGAACCCACATTGAGGACCACCAAGATGGCCTCCAAGATGGCCCCAAGAGGCTCTCCGAGGCCCCTAACCGAAAGAGAATCCATGATTATGGCGCCCTAGTTTTGTTTGTCGAAGTCCCCTTGGGGCTTCTTGGGGGCCTCTCGGGGGTCTTCTGGGGCCTCTTTCGGGCGCGTCGGAGGCCTCTGGGGTACTTCTTGGGGCCATCCTCAGGCGGACAGCTCGAAATGTCCGTTCGGGTTCCCCTTCTGGGCTCCCCCTTGGGTCGCTTGGGGACAATTTTCGAGCGACCTTGGAGCCCTCTGAGAGCTCCGCGGATCCCCCGGTCCCCCCATGGAGGAGGTTGGATATATAATTATATTTACACACGTATATACAGATGTATGGTCACACACGCACACATGTAACTCTAGGTGTAGATATGATGTAGACAGGCGGATCGAATATATTGGGTTCAGGCCCTTAAGAACACCTAGCAACATCAGATCTGTTATTGAAGTAAGGAAGCGCTTGAAGTAGACTGGACTGCGGACGTGCATGGACATGTTGATGGGGAAGAATGAAGGAGGCCCTGGGACACACAGATAAATAGACATCACACCCCAGCATTCCCCCCCCCATGTATATTCATAAATATGTCGGCGGCGCCTCGTGGCACGAACCCACCCCGCCTTCCAAGGGGGTTTCGTACAAGGCGCACCAGGTGCCGCCGACGACCTGGAACCCCCCTCTCCCTCTTTCCCGGGGGGGTTTGTACTGGGCGCACTGGCGCCCCCCCCCCTCCCTGTGGTAGTGGGGCGGGGGGCTCCTGTGGGAGTTGGGGTGCTCCTGTGGGTCAGGGGGGGGCTGCGTGGGAGCGAGGGCGTGGGGTGGGACGGAGGATTCGATGGATGCATGGAGGTGCGGATGGATGGGCGGATCGACGGACGGATGTGAGATAGATGGTTCAGGGTCTGGCCCCCCCCCTCATGCTGATGCCATCGGGCTCCCCCCGCGCGATGGTCCCCCCCCACTGTGGGCGTGGCGTGGTGGCCCCCCCCGCCCCCCCTGTGGGCGCGGGGTGGTGGTGGTGGTGGTCGTCCTCGTGGTCGTCGTCGTCGTCGTCCTCGTGGTCGTGGTCGTCGTCGTCGTGGTCGTGGTCGCCGTCGTCGTCGTCGTCGTCGTCGTCGTCGTCGCACGGGCTGCCTGGACGCTGCCCCGCGCTCTGGCCATCCCGGGGGGTTTCGTACCGGAGCGCACCGGCGGGGCGTCCCGGGGGGGCTCGTACCCGGGCGCCCAAGCCCCGGGGGGTTTCGTGCATCCCGGGGGGGTTCGTACCGACCTGCACCGGCAGCGCGGCCAGCACGAACCCCCCACGAGCGATTCCGGGGGGGTGGTCGCTCCGCACCGGGCACCGCCGACATATATATATATATATATATAAATATATTTGTATATTTGTATATATAGATATGTGTATAAATGTATGTATGTATATATATATATACGTATATAGTATATATATATATAAACACTCACATTTTCAAGATTTAAGTCCCCCCCACTTCCCACATTTTCCCATCTCTTCCTGAGGATCGACGATTTTTTGTGTCTGTGTGCTTGTCCCCCTCCTGCAAGAACGGCGCCTGCTGGGCCACGAGCTCGGCCACGCCCGGGCGCGCCTCGCGGGCCGCGCGGCCCCCGCTCCGCCCCCCACTGGGGGCCCCTGACCTCGAGCGGAGCACGCCGACCGAGCAGATCTCGGCCGACACTGGCATCGTGCGGAGTGGATCGCGAGCCTCCTTCGCTCTCTCTCTCTCTCTTTTTTTTGTTTCTCTCTCTCTCTCTCTCTGCTTCTCTTCTCTCTATTTATATGGAAATAATCAAATCTATGTATGTGTACATATTATATGTATGT